CCGTCTCGGGGCCTAATGCTTCCTTCCTCCGAGTCAGACAGCTCGTTCCCTATCCTATTGTAAACTCTGTTCTTCTTGGCCTTTCATTTCTGATATATGGAAGCAGCAGAGATACGGTTTTGTAGACGAATTATGAGACCTTCTCCACATACATATGAAAAGGGTAATAAAGATGTCTTGAAAGAAGTTAGATCACGAAGTGAACTGATTGGCTGCATCTAAAGGCGATGACTACATTTTTTGACCCCGTCGTGAAAAGGGGAAAACGGGTACGTTGTAAGGGGTGGGGGGGGGGGGGGGGGATGAAGCCGAGGGAGATTGAGAGAGAAGATGCTGGATTGTTTGATATCATAGGCATGGACGGTCATCAGTGTTGAAAGTACACGAGACATGACTACCAGCATCACACGGCATGTTACTGTAAGAAGAACAAGTAAAGGTTGGTTGCGTATCCTTTACAGGACGCTGCAGAACCAACCCCAACAGCCTCTGGCTGTTGTGGTGGTGTGTGGTTTTCTAGGCAAATTTACGTCCAGTAGTTTGCTATTGCTTCTGGACGGTCGGCTTTCTTGATACTACTGTCGAAACCAACTTAAGGCGCATAGCCCGCAGCTGGAATCGAACCCGACATCCCGGCATTACGAAGCGTTCGCATCGACTTAGCCACAGAGCCGACGAAGAACAAGTAAGCACACTTAAAAAGTGCACGCACCCACTGCCTAGCAAAGCGAAACACATGTAAACAGAAGAAACACAAATGTTGAAATGGTTGGTCATACATTAGACGCTTATGTTTTGGAGGCTTGCTGAGAACGTGTCACTTGATGTGATATTTATGGCAGTGCCGTCTAGAAATACGTCGCTGTCCCGTCGGAAATCTGACGCTGTTACTGGCTGGGCTACTGAACCCACCCAGGATGAGAAGGCGGTCTGTGTTAGTCTGACTACTCGAATGGAAAGATACCGTTTTCGTGTCTTCCGGACGCTTGGGGGTGGGGGGGGGGGGTGGGAGAGCATATCTTCGCTCCACCCCAACAATCATGTCGCCGAAGGAACCTTATTCGGGAGTTGATTAAATCTGATCTGATATTTAGACCTAAAAGCACAGATACCATAGGAAAGAAACACAGTAATTTAAACATAAAGATCAATGACATACAATTAGAACAAGTTCAAGAATTCAAGTACTTAGGATGCATATTTACAGAAGATAAAAGACTCGATAAAGAGATATAGGCTAGAGTTCAAAAAGCCAATGCAGTCACCTACCAACTGGCCCTACTTCTTCGTCATCCAAAGATCTCGTTACCAGCCAAACAACGGATGATCAACAGCATTTTCATCCCTACGTTATGTTTTCAGTGCCAAACGTGGACAATGAACAAATCACATATGCAAAAAATAACTACGTGTGAAATGCGATGTCTCCGAAGAGTCACCAACAATACACGAAGAGACAGAGTCACAAACGTCAGCATTAGAGACAGAGTTGGAACAAGAGCATGCATGGAACATATTGAAAGACAGAGAATGAAGTGGTTTGGCCATTTAGTAAGAATGCAACCGGATCAGATTGCCTATAAGGCCTTTTACAGTAGAACATCGGGAAGAAAGGCCAGAGGAAGACCCAGGATAAAATGGATAGATGGAGTAGCTGAATACGGCCAGAAGATCCAGAAAACTCACTCAGATCACGCGAGAGGCACAAAACAAATATTTTAAACCACGACACTGGGCTGCAACCCGGTAAAAGCGAAGAAGACAATAGATAGATAGATAGCACAGATAACACATCCTGTTTGTGAATCACAACACAACCTACTAACCAAAACCTTTATAAAAGGCGAAGATGCGAACACAGAAGAGGAAAAAAAAAACCTACTGGTATAGAAAGTTTAAAATAGATGTTGTTAGAAATGAACGCTGTACGAGGACCGAATTATGTCTTATAAACCAGCTTTCTTTTCTGTTATAAGAAGTGGGTTTTCACCCTCGTGTTGGCATTGCCTCGGGATCCACCAAGTCACATACAGTGGGGAAAACCGCTTTTTCTTCAGTTAGGTAGTCTGTTGAATATTGAAACAAGATCCCCCAAGTACAGCTGATTAGAAACATGCGCCTGACACCACCTGTCCCAGTTTGCGGAGAAGAGACACCATCAAACCACGGCCTTCTCTATATACAGCCGGACCTGATCAATAGAACGAGAGATATCAGAGGTGCCGGGCTCAAGTCCATCCACGTTATGGAAAAGATAGCACAGGTTGGAATTAAATGGAGGATCGATTACCGGACAATTGATAATGCACCAGACAGAAGGCTGTGGATAGACATGACTACCAACACCACACGACATGGACTGTAAAAAGATGTTATATTCTTCTGCAGCTCCTATAAATCAGCTAGCCTGAAATTCTGGATTTTTTAACGTATTGTTTATTTGACAACTTCATCACAGTCATACAGTTTCTGCTTGAAAAAAGGTGGGCGCGAAGCACATTCTTATTCTCATATCTGCATGCAAGGATCCAGTTGTAAAGGTCATATTCTACCCTTTATATTTTTAGGATTCATTGATAGAAGCTGACAGTGGCTGTCTTCAATTTGTTATACAAATGGTTTCACATTTTACTGTGGTTTTGGTTCACACGGAGATGTGACGATAATCTTACGTTACGCCGTCTGCTAAAAAACTCCCGCCATAAGACTGTTATAAGCCGTCTCATGCAGCGGTGGAAGATGATTCGTTAAAAATCGCGGTGGCTTAAATTTCGATGTAATTTTTACTAATAAAATCCTTACGTCCTTTTCAGGACGTAATTTTTTGTTATTTGAAGCCCCACTCTGGCTTTTGCCAGGGGCCGCAATATAGGCATGCCATAAAAATGGCAAAATGTCTGAACGCGGTTTCTGGGACCTCTCCACGGTGAACCTCATCCACATGGTGGCACATTGTGTCATCGGGTGTTTGTCGCTTGTGTGATGTCCTAGTGGGGTAGAAAGTCACTCACTCACATTTCGATGTTAATCTCGTGCCGAGCTAGCAAGATGTACTTCACACTGTATATGGTAGGAAGTTTTATAAAATAAGAAATTCGCCAGCGGCATATTTGCCTACCCAAATCTGGGCTAGTGGATCGGGCGTCTAGTCCTTTAAACAAATGTGCCCCTCCACCCTGAAGTCTTTGGCACACGTGGGATGCAAGATTTTCCAGTGATTATATGGCGTTCATTATGGCATCACGCAGGCGTTGTGACCAACTTGGTGATAATGATTATTATGTTCATGCTACTGTACTCCAAGATTCACTGCAACAGCTCCCCTCATAATTTTACATGCGCACGCAGTAAATGCACACTGAAGTTGCCAGAGATGCCAGCGCCGACAGTCGCCACCAGAATTACAGTTTGTCAGTCATGACAAGCTGGCCATACACACGCAGTATTATTGCATGCAGCACTTCACCAGCCCAAAAGCAACCTGACCACCGGCCGGGTACTAGAAAAACAGTTACTATGAAAGTTACAACTAGGGAAGTCGTATTGCTTGCCAGGTGAATGTGAAAGGTGGAGAAAGGAGTGGTGTAAACACTTCTTCCTTGTTAGTATCTTGTGAAGACTCATTACCGCCTGGAAACTGCAAATCGACATGAAAACTACAGTAATTGTTACCGATGTTAGTCTGGATGGTTTGCTGCTTCATTGAAATGTGCGTCAGGAATAGGGAGTGTGTCCTGTGTGCCCATTCTTAACCCCTTGACAGTAAAGTTCTGTCTATCTATCTATCTATCTATCTATCTATCTATCTATCTATCTATCTATCTATCTATCTATCTATCTATCTATCTATCTATCTATCTATCTATCTATCTATCTATCTATCTATCTATCTATCTATCTATCTATCTATCTATCTATCTATCTATCTATCTATCTATCTATCTATCTATCTATCTATCTATCCATCCATCCATCCATCCATCCATCCATCCATCCATCCATCCATCCATCCATCCATCCATCCATCCATCCATCCATCCATCCATCCATCCATCCATCCATCCATCCATCCATCCATCCATCCATCTATCTATCTATCTATCTATCTATTAACTGAGAGAGCTTTAAGTCACAGTAACTGCTTTACCCACTTAAAGTAGCAACAGCAGTAATAGTTGTGGTTTGGCTGTTACACCATAGTGCTCTCATGTGAAGACCGCCGGTAAGGTTATGGCGTTCTTCTGTCGGCAAGTGAAATTATACATCCTAACCTGACCAGTCTGTGGCAACAGCACTAGCCATGCGGAACCAAATCTTCTGGCTCACGACTCTCTGTCTACTCCGATGGTAACACAGATAGCAGTGACATTATTTTAGTAGTTGTACTGGTACTTGAAGGATGATGTGGTAAATATTTCACTAGCCCTATTCACTACCTTTTACAATTCCTGCTCCTTATTTTAGTCCAGATGGACAGGGATGTCAATGTCAGTTACAGCAACAACAAAATATAGCCAGTTAGTGATTTTCAAATCCTTCGAAGAGGGAGAGAGCAGTAGTCGGTGGAAGAGGGGAGGGGTGGGGGGTAATGACTTACATTTAAGAGAACTTAAAGAGCTTTACACGTGATTTAGTTGTGGGGGGGGGGGGGGGATCAAAGACTATCTCAAATTACGCCACAGCAACGCGTGGCCGGGTACAGCTAGTATATATATAAATGAGAGTTGGGGTGTGGGGCTTTCCGTGTAATTTATGCTTATAAACTGCTCTATTTTCCTAATTTCGTATGTGTGTGGTCAGACAGCTTAACAACATGTGTAATATATTTTGTAACTATACGTTTACAATCCCACTCTTGCAGACACCATGCGTTACTAATTATGTGTATCTACAAATTGCCCCATATAGAAGAAATCAAAGAGGTCATATCAGTGCTTCATTGAAAATTGTGTATGTTTTTTGCCAGCAAATTCAAGTCTGTTTTCTTTTCTCTATTTCAGCAAGCCATGTGCCTCGCTATTCATACAATGGTGTGTAATTTTTTTTTTACCTTGTTTTCTATGCATGTCTTTTGATGTTTGCGTTCGTTTGCTTCCTGTTTGATGTCATCTGTTGCCACGGCAACATATCTCTCCTAGAATTACATCTTTCCGGTAGGGACGTTGTCAAGTACAAAGCCCGAAAGCCGTGTTCTTGCGATAACTAAGACAGTTTCTTTTGTTGTTTTGTGTCTTGTTTTGTTTAGCAGATCTTGCATGGAAGCGGCGGTAAAATAGTGGCTTGGCTCAGGTTCGCGGGCTCGAAGGTCTTGAGTTCGAATCCGCATCAAGTAGAATTTTGGTTTTTTGTTCAAATTGACCTTGGCTCCTAGGTCAGTTCAGCCTAAAATTGGTACTAGGCAATGTCGAGGGAAGTAAAGGTGACCGGCGTATTGACATTAGTCACGGAATACCGATCGGTCTGTAGAAATTGGAGTCTGGCATCGTATAGCCGATTCGCGGCTGGCATAAGAAAAGGGTTCTTCTTTTTGTTGTGTAGAGCACATATTAGATGAAGAATAGAACAGTAAAACTAGAATTTATTTGCACTGACACCCACAGGGGCGTAGAAATAAAGGCAGACCAGGAAAAGGGGGGAGGGGGACACGCGAAGAAGGGAACTGGACAATAAAAAATAAAAAGATAGGGAGCACATGAAGTAAGCTGTATGCAGTAGCAAAGATAGGATGGTTTGGCCTGAGTTGTTTGAGGGCCTATGCTTCATTCGCGTGTAAAGTGCAGAAGAAGTGGAAGAAGAATAGTTACTGTGTTCAGTGTTTCAAACAAGCAGTTTATCCAGCAGTGTATTGGCTGTTCGCTGTTGTTTTTGGTGTTGTTTTAACTCCACGGAGATCGATAATACAGATGCTGAGTCATGGACAGTTTGCTGTGGATTTTAATTCCAATATCTTATATTTTTTTGTAATGTCCAGCCAGTTTCCACAGGTAATCTAACAGCAGGTATTTCTCAGCTTTTCGATTTGTTAAAGGGTCTTGTTTACTAAAACTTACTATAGAGTTACCAGCGCCTTTCTTCATAACAATTTATCTTCAGCGAAATCTCTAGGGCTTGTAACATAAATCGCTCCATATGAATTATATGTTAGGAACAAACATAATCGTTTTCCATGTAGGAATTTTAAAAAAATTCCAAATAAACGTCTAGTTTACATTTTTCTAATTCGCGGTACATGTAAAAACAGACACTGATGCAAATCAAACAAACAGTATGGTTAAAGTTAACTGAGTAATCGGAACTACCCAAAACATCAAATTGTAAGCATTTCTTAGAATTTTCTCCATCATTAGCCTCCCGTGAGTTTTGAATTTTTCATTGTATGCGAAATAGGCTATCAAAATAATCACCACGCATCGTTGCACGTAAGAGTCTATTTCGAGACAATCCTCAGTTACTGAATATTCTGTTTTTTTAGAGGTGCTCAAGTTATTAGTCAAACGAATATCAAAGAAATTCTCCGCTTTAAGAAAACAGCAGTACCTATGTATTTGTAAATTATTAAATCACAAGGACGTTGACTATCTAATACAACGTGCAAAAAATTGTGTTGATCCATCAAGGAGTTTTCGAGATATTTGTTAAAGTATGAGGAGGGCACGACTTTTAACAGTCTCTATAAATGCAGTTTAGACGGCCGGCGTAATGCTGACCACATTACCCACCCAGTGCCGATTGGTCTGTAAAAATATGGGACGCTCTTCCCATATGCCCGATGCGCTTAAGTCGTGAAAATGGATCTTTGCGAACTTATAAATGCATTGTAAAAATAAACAAAAAATAGGGTCTAGTTTCAGCCGTTACGACTGGAATTTTATCTACCCTTCACTCTTTTGAGCGTGACGTGAACCACTCCTTGTGTTGTGTCACTCTTCCGTAGAAGTGCGTTTAACGGTGAAAATTGGCGGTGGCGGGGGCATTTTAGGAGCGGGAGTCACTGTAGCATAGTGACTAGACCGCTCACCTGTCGGCCCGACGCTAGAGTGTTGATTTGTTTTTCATAATTGACCTTGGCTCCCAGGTCGAAATAGCCTAATATGGGTACCCGGCAATGTTCAGGAAGTAAAGGTGACCGGCGTTGCGTTTATCACCTCATCAGTCGAGTGCCAATTGATCTATAACGTAAAAAAGGCCTTTTGCTTTCTGTACCAAGAAATAGTTATTCGTTCACTGGGCCTTACACTTCTTTAGCGACTACCTCAGGCAGTCTGAGCTCTAAAGTAGTAGCTATGTGAATTATGTAGGAGTTGCTGTGGTTTTCCGACAAAATGAAGTTTTGACTCCAAAAATGGTCGCGACCTATAAGTTGAACCACTGTGCTAACCGAGGACGACGTGGTAAAAAATCTGCAAAACTGGGGCATATACTGAAATGGGATCGAGTCAAAATATATTTTCACGCGTTGTTCATCTTACAGATGTATGTATTCTGTCCAAATATTTTAGACTTACTGTTGTAGCTTTCCTGCTGTATGGACAGTGACAATTGTTTGTGATGTAAATTGATATTTAACGCTTGATATTTAATACTTTATTTTTCCCCGTTTTCAGTGATTGTTTTAGATTGTTGTGTTCATGCACGAATGCATAAAGTAATGTTCTGTTTATATGAATATTGTAAGTGCATGTTTAAATGTTTTTTTGTTACTTTTGTTTTCACGAACCATTGTTTGTGTTTTTATCCCATTTGTAACTTTTTACTCTATATTAAAAAAAAAAAAAAAAAACTTGGGGCGTAGAACTTTGCCATTGTTGCATTGTCATCTTTTTGTTTGAAAATATTCAAATAGAAATATTATTGGAAACGTTAGAGTTATCAGCAGGTGACAACTGAGTCCATTCAGTAGATTATCTACGTCACTTCTGAACATCTGGTGAGCTCAAACTGACAGAACCATTGACCATACTTGAGAAGATCAAAACCGGCATGCTGTCACTAGAATGGGTTGCAAGCACCCAGAAGTCCCGCCTCAAGTAACATGTTGAGCTGTATAGGCGGTGTCATTGACCGGTAGTCCTTGTGTGCGAAACAATATAATGAAAATTATTGCAGTAAGATGTTAGACCAGGCAAGAGTTACCGAACATACACTTAACAGCGTCAGTAGTGTAAACAAACCAGCCACGTAAGGCTGGTGAATAGAACTTGACTGGAGTACAGGGGCAAGTGAGCGAAACCTTGCAGAATAAGGAGACAGTAGGTTGACTGGAGTACAGGGACAAGTGAGCGAAACCTAGCAGAATAAGGAGACAGTAGGTTGTTAGACAGACTGGTTCGCACATTAGCGATATGCAAGATATGTTTATCGTATATCTTCTATAATCTTGGGCAGTTGTTAAGACTTGCAGTCTCCCAAAGTTAAACGTGTGTAGTACCTATGGCACAATCGTATCAAAGGTCCGAAAGGAGCTAACAGAACAGTGGGATTAGAGTTAGGTTGGTAATGCTTACTAACCTACATGTGTAGGTGAAGTGAAGGACGAGGAGAAGAAGAAGAACTAGCAGGGAAAATAGGTACACCATAAATCGAATATAGCCTTAAATTAAGAAAACAAAAGTAAACACCTTTAATGTAATACATATGAGATAATAATTAAAAAAAAAATTAACAAATTTGCAAAAATTAAGTATACAGTCGTAAATGTATGTACAGTTAAATGTGTGATGTAGTTCGGAAGTACGGGAGATAAGTAGAGTGAGGCTGGGAGTGGTGGTGTAGGAAGAGTACAACTGTGATGACACTTGTTGACATCGCTGGGCCTGTGGTCTGGGTGGTACAGACTTGGATGTACACCATGAACTCAAATCAGTCAGACGGCAGGGTGCGGCCGGCTGGGAACTAGATTAACGCAGTGGTGGTTTCAAGGTACTTAGAGACCCAGTTATAGGGATCTGCGGGTAAAAATGAAAAGACGATACGACAACGTGTAGTGAGTCAGCTCTAGTTGGTTGACTTAAGGAGGTAGTGTATTACCCCCGGATTATCTGCGCTAGTTTGAAACTCCTTCCGTGTGGAGTATATAGGTACAGGAAGGAGACAACAGTTTAATAGACCCTTATGCAGTCCTCTTCTCATAATAGTCCCTGATGTGTGGCTTTGGTAGTCGTGTCTATCTACAGCCTGTTCGTGTACTTTCAATCAAGTCTTACCGGAAACAAAAATGAAATAAAAGAAAATAAAATAAAACCATGACCCTTTCGATTATTCGAACCTGTTGTCTCCCGTACGAGAACCCAGCATTCTTATCCGTTCAACCAGCACTCCCAGGGCTAGTGAATGATTCAACAACTGCATGGTCCCGGAGTACTGGGTTACACGTCCGTGGTAGTCAGTTTACTCAAAACAAGTAAGTGTCCAACAGTGGAAGAGATTGGGGCCTCGCTAATTTGCCAAAAGACAGCAAGCAGTGAGTGTAGCTAACTTTCATTTTTTAAGACGACCGCAGTCTCACACCCCCCCCTTTTGTTACAACTTCAAAACTGGGTCCTGATCGCCAAGGTTAGCAGCTGTTTCCTCGCATTTAGTGTTGCAGAATGGGTGGAATCAAATTGGACCCATAATTACATGTGCAACAGATCCGTTTGAAAAAAAATTGCAGAGGAGATAATGTATGTATGAAACAACAGGTATTTGAAACTTGGCGGTGTCAAGAATGGGTTGTTCTTTTCTGCTGTGAGTCATAAGTGGCTGAGATATCCGCGGCGTTTACGGAAATTCTAGTGAGAGTGCGCGGCGTATGTAATTGTAAGTAGTCCTTTGTTGTTTGAAGCGAGGAAATGTCGTCTTTTCAAGCCAGTTTAATATAGCAGTCACTGCCACCACCGTATTCATTTTAAGATGGCAGCAGCAGTTACCATCACAAATTAATGTAAGCTAACATCTACTACAGAAATGATCTTTATAGGTCTCTCTCTTTCTCTCTCTCTCTTTCTCTCTCTCTCTTTCTCTCTCTCTCTCTTTCTCTCTCTTTCTCATTCTTTCTCTCTCTCTTTCTCTCTCTCTCTCTTTCTCTTTGTCTTTCTCTCTCTCTCTTTCTCTCTCTCTTTCTTTCTCTCTCTCTCTCTTTCTTGCTCTCTCTCTCTCTTTCTCTCTCTCTCTTTCTCTCTCTCTCTCTTTCTCTTTCTCTCTCTTTCTCTCTCTTTCTTTCTTTCTCTCTTTCTCTCTCTCTTTTTCCTCTCTCTCATCTTTCATCTCTCTCCATAAGTCTTTCTCTCTCTCTCAGTCTTTCTTTCAGCTTTCTTTCTCGTCAGATCTCAGTCTTTCTTTCTGGTCTCTTTCTCTCTCTCTCTCTTTATTTCTCTCTCTTTCTGTCTCTCTCTCTCTCTCTCTCTCTCTCTCTCTCTTAAGGACATCCAGTTACGTGTGTCCTTGTAACAACCAGTCAACACAGACATAAATGGTTTATGTTAGACAAAATGAAGCTGAAACTTTTCCTTATTTGGAAACCTAATTATGTAAAACTCCCCTTTACAATAAAAGTAAAAACCTGTGAATAAAATTAATTCGCGTGAGAAACTCCTTAGATACGCATGCGCTTTTACGCACGCACACACAGACACCTAATTATATAGTTAGTTGATTATCCTCATGGCACATCAAACCATTCAGTCCATAAGTGCTCAGATCCCCTCCTCAGTCAATCCCGCAGCGTGTAGCGGCTGACGATACCATTCATGTGTTGGTTTCGTATTCTTTGGCTTCCTGCGTAGTGTTCTTGTCTAGCCACACCTCTTTTTTGACTTGCTGTTCCTGCCATTGGGTCATTGTTACAGATTCACACACGGTTATTTATACACACGCATACTCAACAAAAACCCACAATCGTGATGAAGCGACTAAAGAATTAAATACCATTCCTATTTGTAATGTTAATTGAGGTACCATGATATATATATATATATATATATATATATATATATATATATATAAATATATATATATATATATATATATATATATATTATAACTCAATATTACATGGCAAGAAGTTGGTAACAGGAAATAACAATCAATTTAAAGTTCTAAAAATATATTCTGAAAAACACAAAAGCCCCTGGCTGTTGTGTCGTTTCTCTAGGCAAATTTACGTCCAGTAGTTTGCCATTGCTGTCTGGACGGTTGGCACCCTGATACCACTGTCGAAACCAGCACAAGGCGCATGGCCCGCAGCTGGGATCGAACCCGGTACCACGGCATTACGAAGCGTTCGCATCGACTTGGCCACAGAGCTGACACATATATATATTCCTAAATAAAATGTCCATCCGACTAGAGCTAGGACACTACCATGTTAGGACATCGTGCTACACCAGCGGTTCTCAGTCTATGTGTCGCGACCCTTTTGTGGGTCGAACGACCCTTTCACAGGGGTCGACCCAAGACCATCGGAAAACACATATTCACTGAAGTTAGGAAGTAACAACGAAAATAATTGTATGGCTGGGGGTCACCACAACATGAGGAACTTGTTAAAGGGTCGCGACACTAGGACGTTTGAGATCCACTGTGCTACAGGGAACTGAAACCCTAGCACTCTCTGTTATTGCTGACAGTTACAAGCTGGTGGCATGTTTCCTAAGTTACAATTTTTTTTTTCATGTAGTATAATTTGTAATCCATGGTAAACAAGTTATTTGTCATAAGACAGTTTCTTCCCCCCCCCCTTTCTCTATTCTTTTTTTTTTTTTTTTTCGTGTCTAAGTATTTGTTTTATATGGCTTGGTGTCCGCCAGTCCCTGGCTTTAGGCTTTATGTGAACCAGCATTTCTCTGTTTGAATATCGTGTTTTCAGTACTTTAAATAGAATGTCGTTTCCATTTTTAGCTTGTGGCCATTTAGTGTTGAAATATTATAGAGAAAGCTACAAATTGCTTGCCTTTTGTGGCTTTGTGCTTTTTCAAAATATATTTTTAGAACTTTAAATTGATTGTAATTTTCCTGTTACTAACTTCTTACCATGTAATATTGAGTTATTTAAAAATTTCCTTGTAAAACACTACCAAAAAAAAAATATATATATATATAAAAAAAAAAAAATAGAGAAGCAGCGCTTTGATTGAATTAGTCTTTCTTTCTTTCTTTCTTTCTTTCTTTCTTTCTTTCTTTCTTTCTTTCTTTCTTTCTTTCTTTCTTTCTTTCTTTCTTTCTTTCTTTCTTTCTTTCTTTCTTTCTTTCTTTCTTTCTTTCTTTCTTTCTTTCTTTCTTTCTTTCTTTCTTTCTTTCTTTCTTTCTTTTTTTCTTCTTTCTTTCTTGTTTTCTTGTTTTCCTTTCTTTCTGTCTTTCTTTCCATGTTTTCAGAAATTTAAATACAGTCTATAGTAATTTTCATATTCCAGTTTATGATCACAAAGTGTTGATTTATTATAGAGAAAACTAGGCTTGCTTGCCTTTGATTCTATTGTCTCTACGTTAAAATATATTTTCAGGACCCTAAATAGAATGTCCTTTGATTTGCAGCTTGGGATCTTGTGAAATTGAATTGTATATAGAGAAACACTGACTGCAAATGTGCTTAGTGAAAGCACACTTAAGAAAATAGAGAAGCAGCAAATTGCTTCCTCTTTCTTTCTTTCTTTCTTTCTTTCTTTCTTTCTTTCTTTCTTTCTTTCTTTCTTTCTTTCTTTCTTTCTTTCTTTCTTTCTTTCTTTCTTTCTTTCTTTCTTTCTTTCTTACTTTCCTGTATACGTCTACATATGTTTTCAGAACACAACACAATAAAATTATTATATTCGAGCTTCCAGTTTTATTGAATTATAAATGAATTATCTCATGTTTGTTTCTTTGTTTCTTTCTGGTTGCATATAATATTTTCAGATTTTAAAATAGGTTGTCCTTTTCATATCTAAGTTTATGACCATGTAGTGTTGAATTGTTTATCTAGAATCTGTTAATTATGTGCCTTTTACTCCCCTTTTTTTAAAAACTTGTTCACGCATGTGCTGCAATACTTTCTATAGATAGAATGTTGCTTTTATATTCCAGTTTGTTACCATGTAATGTTGAATTGTTTATGTGGATACAGTGAATGTAAAATTGCTTTGTGTAACAGCAATTAGCTCAACAGTTTCCTGTGTGGGTTCCGGGGCCCTGTTGTGGGGAAAACAAAAGCAGACCCACTGCCTGTTCAAAAGCATGTCGTAAGAGTAGGCTATTCGGAAGTTTCCTTCAAGTCGGAGTACATCCGCATGAGAGGCATGGATCCAACAGTCTGCATGCAGATGAGCCAGACCTGTGAAACGGACGTGCACACAACCCCCAGTTTCTGGAACAGGGCTAGAGTCCAGAAGCGGACGAACAACCAGAACTTTCCGCCGGAGTTTACAGCCGGTGAAGAAGAAGAATAGGTCCCAAAATGGCAGGGGTTTGAGTTTTGAGACGTCCTGTAAAGCAGTGTTTCCCAAACCTTTTCTCACCCGTGGCCCTTCCAAACACGGGGAAAGTGTTTATCGGCCAGTCTGACAGCTAACCAAACACAGAAACAAAAACAAATATATCTGACAGTTTGTTAAACCCGATGTCACAGAAATTACAATTTTCAGCTGCTCCTGCTGATTAGAGGCTGGAAATCTGATATCTGTGGCTGGAGATTTAATTATGATAGACAGAATGCTTTAATAACATTCCCTCGATTTGGGTTACATGGCTGAGAAGTTGAAAAACTTCAATTTTATAGCTGTTTGATTCAGTCATGGGTAATATTTTTTCGAATTATATCCAAAATTCAGACAATGATTGTATTTTGAATATTAAATGTTGAATTGAGAATCGACATCACAGCATTCGGGACACTCCCATAAGTGCTCCGTTCCCATCTTCAGCAGCAAGCGAAGGGTTATAATTCGGATGGCGCCAGTAACTGTCTGTATTTCCGTCTCGTTTTTCCTCTGAGTGTTGAGCGTCTGCCAGATCCTCTGGTAACTCCTCGCAGCGCCATTCTACTCCGACCGTAATGATCTATCTGTGCTTCGGCACTGTTCAGAAACCAAGTGGTGCAGAGCCAGTCAGTCTATCTGCCTGCTCACTTTCCAACACAACGGCATGACCTGGGGAAAATATCCAAAGGACGCTAACTACCCGGGACCTCTGTGATTGCATTTTATCTCTTTACACAAGACTGATAATCAGAAGACAAATTAATAAGTTTTTCGTTTTCATAATAAGGCGCCCCCCCCCTCCCAGCTAACGCCTTTGAATGCTGACTTATGTTCTGTGTGTCTTATCAGTAATCGTCTTCATTTGGGATGCAATTTTTTGTTATTTGAGGCCCCATCCTGGCTTCTGCCGCAGGCCCTGACTATAGCCAGGTATAAATTTGGCCTAGCCGTAGATATGGCCTAACGGCTGAAAAGGGTTTCCGGGACCTCATTACGGGTGATCCTTATCCGCATTGAGGCACTTTGTGTCACTAGGCGTTTATCGCTTGTGTGGTGGCTTGGTGGGGTACAACTACCTACCTACCCATCTACCTACTTATCTATGCCTGTTTGATTCTCACCCTTGAGGGGTTCATTCGGCAAGCAGCAATCCTGGACCTGAAGAACACTGAACAATCGGCGGCTAACTTTTTAAATAGGCAGGCGGCGCATTGCTTACCTTTCTTTCTTTCTTTCTTTCTTTCTTTCTTTCTTTCTTTCTTTCTTTCTTTCTTTCTTTCTTTCTTTCTTTCTTTCTTTCTTTCTTTCTTTCTTTCTTTCTTTCTTTCTTTCTTTCTTTCTTTCTTTCTTTCTTTCTTTCACTGTCTGCATTTCATTTGATAACTTATGCCTTTCTTTTGAGAACTTTTGTATTTCTTTTGATAATATGCATTTTTGGGTGTGTGTAAAGCGTCCTAGTAAAGGTTTGTAAAACTTAAAACCATATTTATATCCTTTCTTAGATACCAGTTCCATTTATTGTAAGTACTTTCTGGAGAATGTGATGTCCAGTTTCTAGCATGCAGCCTCGTAATCAACCCAGCCTTTATATACTCGCAACTAGAACGTTCTTGTGTAAGCAGCCCTTTTCCCCACCAAATCTGTTAACTAATGCAGTTACCTGCATGTTATCCTAACTGATATCATATTAAATAGCATACTAATGGAAACGTAGAACCCGTCAGCTTCACAGTATCACAAACTACAAGTGAACGTTGGGGTAGACAGCATTCGTCAACAGTTTACACATATATACAACACCACAAGTACAAGAACAATTGCATAGAATCACTTAACTGATATATCTGCGATAGAAATCACACCTTCGCAGGCCAGTAGAATATCTGACACCTGTGTGCTCACCCGAAATAACCCCCTCCCCTTTTCCCCCTCCACACAACTACGCGACAGACAAGGGCCGTAACTCAGCCACATGAGTATCCTCTGTCTCACACAGCCGTTTAAAGTTATAGAGACGTCTTGCCGTTGTAATGTAAGCAGTCTGTCGCGCCTGCAAACATGTAGTTTAATTTGCATGTTATCCCAAATTTTGTATTGTGCCGTTTAATTGTACTGTCTTTAATTCTTTTGTAAGAAGTTATGTCCTGTATGTCTGTACGCCTGTACAGTTTAATCTGCATGTTATCCCGAATTTTATATTGTGCCTTTTAACTGCACTGTCTTTAGTTCTGTTGTAAGGTGACGTCCTTGAGGTTTGTACACCTGTACAGTTTAATCTGCATGCTATCCCGAATTTTCTATTGTGCCGTTTAATTGTACCATCTTTAGTTCTGTTACAAGAAACCTGATGTTCTTGACATCTGCACACCTGTAAAATTTAACCTGCCTGTTATGCTGACTTTTATATTGTGCAATCTGACTCCGATGTCTTATAGTTCTGATGGACTGAGGCCTCTGTTGTAAAGTGGTTCCGCCATTTCTTTTGCGATCTGAAGGTCGCAGGTTCGTTTTACATAGCGAGTACATTTTCACAGAGATCCCTAGGCATCGTCACTGGAGCCTGCGGAGTCCGTGTTTTGTGCGACACCTGTAAAATTTAATCTGCCTGTTATGCTGACTTTTATATTGTGCAATCTGACTCCGGTGTCCTATAGTTTTCTTATGGACTGAGGCCTCTGTTGTAAAGTGGTTCCGCCTTTTCCCTTGCGATCTGAAGGTTGCAGGTTCGTTTTACATAGCGAGTACATTTTCACAGAGATCCCTAGGCATCGTCACTGGAGCCTACGGAGTCCTTGTTTTGTGCGACTTCCTCGACAGGCGGTTAGCCGTTCTTCCGAGAGAGATTTGGGATTACATACGACAAAGTGAGCCTCATCTCTCCTATTCAACCTGTATTCTCATGTATAAGCCTTTATTTCTGTATGCATTTCCTTTATGTTTGCATGTTACCCTACCTTCTTTTTTTGGTACCATATTTAATTGTTCTGAACCTAATGTCTTTCAGTACTGGCTATAATATATTGCGTTTTTGGTTATTAGCTTGCTTCGTTTATTTTACTGTGGGGTTTTCATTTTCCTGGTTTGCGGTGACTTTTATTAAAATTTTGTTTTGGGATTAACGGGAATGTGTATTGCATACAGAGCTGTTTAATGTTGTTTTATGTTTCCATTAATAGGCGAGTTGTGTTATGTATAGGCATTTGCATGATTATTATCTTTGAGTAATTGAGGGAGAGAGAGAGAAAGGGGGGGGGGAGGAGGAGCAACAAAAAGAGCACACACTACACTAATATACACAGATACCGGACTGAGAGTTAAGAAGAGATCAACCAGATAGAGAGACGAGGGGACCAAACGAGCAGAAACAGCAAACAGACGACATTTATAAAATAAATAGCGACGCACACGCACACACACACAGAGAGAGAGAGAGAGAGAGAGAGGGGAGATGGAGAAACAAACCACATACATACACAGACTAGATAGTTAAACAAGGCGGAGAAATAGAGAAAGATTAACCAGACTGAAATAGAGAGAGATATTACAAGCTGAGAGCGCAGACGGACGAGACAACAGGAAATGAGTATGAACACACACACACACAGACAAACAGAGAGAGAGAGAGAGAGAGAGAGAGAGAGAGAGAGAGAGAGAGAGAGAGAGAGAACTGAAAATATATGTATTAGAACTTACTTAACATATATTTTATTAGAACTTAACATATAATTATCAGAACTTTCTATATAATTATCAGAACTTTCCATATAATTATCAGACCTTAACATATAATTATTAAAAATTAACGTCTAATTTTTAGAACTGCCACCACCTTTCCCTCTTCTGTGTAGGAGACGACCCTCTAGGGAGGGAACTGACGTACACACGCTGTCACACTCAGCTAAACCAGTTCAGCCCTGTATGTAAAATGATCCCTTTGCGCGCCTTCCGGCATATTGGGCGTACAGGACTAGACCTATTCTTTATAGACCAACCGGCAGTTGGTGGCTGATGTGGTCAGCATGCCGGTCGCCTTTGCTTACCACGTCATCAGCATAAAAAAAAATAAGGACAGCAATGAAACTGTGGAAAAAAAGACCACTTATGTCCCACTTTACAGTCCTTCATCCATCAGCTTAATTTATTCTGTACTAAACAACTAATCGTACACGGATCCATTGTTGTTATGACCGAAACAATTTGTTTTCAATGTGCTTCCATTTGTAGGCATAATTTGCTGATAACAACATGCCGATGTTACTTGAAATAGGTTTGTCCTTGTAGCAGTTCAGCTCCTTTTGACGAGTGACAGATGTAGCGTTAGTGCAGGCTGATAAGGAAAACAAAACATTAAATAAAAGTAGTTATACTTGAAGCTTTCATTACTTATCTTGCATACAATATCCGGTGCACTAAAATGATAATGGACATACTATAATAACAACGACATGTTTTATCAGGTTTATATTGTGTCGATACATTTTTATAGATACACGAGTTTAGCTAATTATCTTTACAAATAGTCATCTAAAATATTATACCACGACTAACTATTATATATATATAAACGCTTTAATAAAGAAATGCCTTTCCCGCTACCGGGTGCCGTCGTAGTGTGCCGGCTAGACGCTCGCCTGCGGATGCCAAGGTCGTGGTTTCAAATCCATTTAGAGCTGGACATTAAAAAAAAAAAAATAGACTGATGAGTAAACACGGCTGGCGGGATTTTGACCACATCACCCAGCGAGATCTATAAAATATAGGTCTAGAAAAGGGCCCTTTTCTGTTACGCCGTCGGACATATTCGATACATGGTGGTAACCTCATATATTCACACTAGACGATACTCTGTGGGTGATGTGGTCAGTATCACACTAGTTGCCATTACTTCCCATGACATTTTCTAATACTAGTTTAGGTTGGGTGGGCCTAGGAGGTCAGTGAAAAAAAAAAAAAAACCACGCCCACCCATAAGAGGATTGGAACTCAGGACAAACTGACCTAATGGTACGAGCTACAGCCGCACCTGTTCAGCAGCACATAAGCAGACGACATTGAATGAGTGCCACGCCTATTGAATGAGTGCCACGCCCACGTTGTTTACTTTCTCCTGGCAATTTCTGATGTCCGGTTTATGAGTTCCTTGTCCACCCTTCTGCCATACCACCACCACCACCACTGGAGAATATCTAAAGGAGCCAGTAAGCTATACTTATAGCGGATAGAGAAGATACAGTGTGAGCAATGAAGACGAAAATCGTGAGAATGTGTTTGTTTTTGCATAAGGTAACTCTTTGCTAATGCCCATTTTCTTGGATAAGATAACACTTGGTTTCTAAACATTATTTTAAACAAGATGACACTTAGTTGAGCCAATGTTATTTTGATAAAGATAGCACATAGTTGAGTCCTTTAATTTTAAAGAGGACAGCACTTAGTTGGAACCATGTGATTTTAAATAAAACAACACTTAGTTGAGTCAGATTATTTTAAACCAGAAAGCACCTGTTTGAACCGGATAAATTGTAAACAAAATAACACTTAGTTGAGTCCACTTATTTTAAACAAGACAGCACCTGGTTGAATCAGATTAATTTTTAAACAAGATAACTCTGATTTGAGAGCGTTAATTTTAAACAAGATAACTCTGATTTGAGAGCGTTAATTTTTAAACAAGATAACTCTTATTTGAGAGCGTTAATTTTAAACAAGATAACACTCATTTGAGAGCGATTATTTTAAACCAGATAACACTTTGTTTGGGCCAGATGATGATGTAACATTCAGATAACTGATTTTCAGATACAAAGGAAACACTAAGAAGCAAACCCTAAACGATTATATTGAACAGCAGCGGCAACGAAAACCTCATTGTAACATATTCTGTAGTCTAGAAACGTGAAGAGCGAAAATTTTATATTGCTTTTATTGTTGAATCATGATCCCCATCAAAGTAACATCGTCGGCGGCTTTATGTGCTGTCGAAAAGCGACTAAGTCGAATTTGAAGTATCCTGCTTTGTCCCTATCATTAACAATCTCTTACCCTTCCCTCCCACACCTTTCACCCCTTTCCCTAGGATTGTATTCTGTAGATTATCATCTTAAGGATGAGAATCTAGACAGGTACAAGTCATTGAAACCTCGTTCAATCACTGTAAAGTTAGTGCCATATCATTCGCAGGATGTTGCAGAACCAGGCATTAGCATTTGTTGCTGATTTTATTGCGCCACCACATAGTGTTACGTTCCAGTAATTTGCCATTGCTTGTGAAGGTCGGCTCTCAATTCCTCTGTTGAAATCAACGCCAGGCGACCTGCTGACAAATCGCCCGCAGCTGAGATCGAACAGGGCACATCGGTATTACGAAGCGCGTTTGCAGCATTTAAGTCACTGACGCCGACTTTTCAAGAGTACGACAGTTGTATCAGACACACTGTAATTATAAACTAACGTATCCCATATGGGATGGTAATGACGTTTGCATGGCCGGTGTGTCACATGTACTGTGCCCACCTTTATT